TTCAAGAAAGGAAACCGCAAACAAAAAAGGAAATGACATTTTTAGGAGGCAGTATATTACTGCACATCCAGGAAAACCCATACAGAAGCAGAGTATGGAAGAACTTTTCCCGGCAGTAGCAAGCTTACATGTCAAGTTACCACCTAAGGGACGTAACCCTAACTGGAGAGTTCAGGACCAAAGACATAGCCCAAAAAGAGAATATGAAACTCCAGGAAGAGGGGCAGCACAGACTCAACCAAGGTGTATTCATTGTGGATCCTGGCGACATGAATCAGAGTCATGTTACTACAGGGATAATAGAAAAGATTACGAATACAGACCGCCAACAAGATGGAACTCGTGGTATCGAAGATCGATAGAATGTTATATTTGTAGAGGATCACTTTTGGCTAGGTACTGTTCAAGGAATATGAAACAGGCTAATGCTGCACAAAACATAAACTCTTCTGAAGCACCAGAACAACGAGACATACAAATGGGGCAAGAGTCAGAAATAATTGTTCCAGCTTTGTCAGCATTATCTATGAGAGGAGGCTTAAAAGTCCATAAGGGATATGTAGACAGATATTCAGCTACAACCCTAAGGGATACAGGTGTGAGTATAATCGGAGTTGCAAAGTACTTAGTACCGAAGTCTGCATATTTGGGCAAAAGAGTATTATGTCGTACTTTTGGTGGCAATATTGAAAGGTACCCTATTCCAAAGGTTTATATTAACTGTTGTTATTTTCAAGGGTTAACAGAAGTATGCGTATTGGAACACCCGGTAGCTGATGTAATAGTGGGATCAGTAAAAGGAGCCACCATGCCTACTGAGAAAGAGATTGAAGAATGGTACAAGAAAGATGTAAAAACAGCAAACAATGCTTCTATAACAGCACAGCAGGTGCGCAAGAGCGAAGACTCCAAGCGACATGAGGGCGATGATTATGTGAATAAGTAAAGTGTTATTCAGACTGGAATAACCAGTCCAGAAAAACAAGCACAAAACCAGTCTAATTTCAGTGATGAGCAGAAAACAGATCCTGCCTTACAAAATTCAGACGGCGTCATGAATGGATACAGACCAGAGCATAAAGAGATAGCAGTAGCGTATTGCAACCAAGCACATGATGAGTCGGATAAACTATTAGATGAGAATGGCGAACGCAATATGATTATGCCCCATATGGTACCCAGAAAGTACTGGAAGGATAAGAAAATATCCTCGGCTTATCCAATAGAAAACTGCGGTCAAAACTGTGGAATGATGGCCACATTCAACAGTGATTTGATTGACAGTCCAAGTAAAAACACAGAGACAGTGCACATAAGCCAGTTGTTCAATAGCCATCCATCTTCAGTTGAAGAGAAATTATTGGCATAAAGCCAGTCATGGAATGCCCGGTTATCATAACAAAGAAATAAGTAAGAACATTAGGTTTGGAAACTTTGTATTCAAAATTATTTCCCATTACTTAACCATCACTGTCATTGTCTGCGTCATACATAGGAAAGGCTTGCCAAACAAAATAAAATGAGCAGAGCAATACGCAATAACATTACGCGATTTACAAAAATCATTCACTTGTATACCATTTTACATTTGCCTAATATAAGATTATCTTTCCATGTTGCATATGACGTGTCGGATGTCAACCTGAGTGGTGTGCTGCTATCTGACTTTGGAGGTCCGTTATAACCTGTCAGAAAATTAGCACAAGCAAGAGACAGGGTACAGCATCGGTGAACGGGGAGTTGTGGCAATTCACTACGCAGTGTCCAAGAGTGGCCACTACCTATATGAAGGCCGCTTTACGCTTTGCCAAACACACATAGTTGTTAAAATTAGAGATAAACATCCATGTGTGTGCTTGTACTGATATATGCAACGATACTTTAGTTAACTACATGAAATATTATGATATGTTACGATACCACATGTCCAATGATTATTGTAATTATGAAATCAGCCAGCAACAAGGCTTCTAACTCAACAACTGACAACGTCACTTATTTCAGTTAGTTGTCAGTTGGGAGAGGGGGAGGATATAATGTTGCGTGCTAATTTGGGTAAAGTGTAATATTGTGTGAAGGGACAGTGGTATGAGAGCACTTCTGTGAGTTCACGGGGAATTGTCAACATTGGCTCGATGTTGACCAGTGAGAAGGGTAGTGCCACGAGAAAGTGGACGCGTGGGTTACGGTGTGGGGGCTGAAAGCATGGCTAACGAGATAAACAGAGAAAGTGTGAATTACGTGACAGCGTGATTCTCAGGTAACATCAGCCACCCACATAAGCGTAATCCTCGAGAACGCACACATGAGCGTGAGTCTCGAGAACACCCACAGGATCATGATTCCCGAGAACGCCTATACGAGCGAGCCTCTCGTGTAAACATCATCCACCCACTCGAGTTCGACGGGGATAAAATGGGGGGCTGAGTAGTCAGTCCGAGGCAGCCGAAGTCGACGAGAGAGAGAGAGAGAGACCAAGTCAGGGTCCGTGATTATCTCTCTCGAGTATCACAGACAAGAATACCGTACGACTATCAGGCATTAAGGTCTGAGTAAGTGTTGAGGTTGCGGTACTGGTCGAAGGTATGGTCCCGCTAGCGAAGTAAGTCCAAGGGGATAGGAGGCTCCAATAGTACCTGTTCTGGGTGGCGACGTAGTGAAACGTAGGAGGACCCCTAGTGAAACAGAACAGGGGGGGGGGGGGGGGGGGGGGGGGGGGGGGGGGGGGGGGGATGCCGACGAGAGCTGTGTGCTAGAGGGGACTTAGGGTAGAAGTCCTGTCGGTCATCGGAGCCCTTCGACAAGCTGACGAAAACTGTGTGCTTTTTGGAGTACGGCAAGGAAAGTCCGTCTCCAGTCAGCCGTGGTTGTCTGCTGAAATAATATTAAGGTCCAGTGGATAGGAGAATTTGTCTTATTCTGCTGGATGGCGTGCCAGAGTGTGGGACACTGTACTCCTTGGAGCTGTAGTGGTCAAGGAGAGGTCGCCACAAATTGAGAGAGAGCGTCAACTGTGATCAATGTCTATGTCTCTGCAGTTTTGTTGATGTGAGGGCTGGTGTATACCCTCTTGTGTTCTGTCAATTAAAGATGCTATGTGACAGAACTATTGTCGTCGAGTTCTGTTTCCAAGTGAGGGAGCGAAAGTACATCTTTAGACACTTGGTAGTGTGCTGATTAGTCTGTAACTCAGATAGCACAAAACATATGCTCAAGGTTCGACAATTAAGTAATGAGACTAATTCCATAAAAATTAAAATAATCAACAGTTGAAGATATAACCTGCAACTTTTTTCTTGCTAAAATTTTGCACTTAAATATTATAAATGGTCTGTCTATTAACACCAGATTCATCTGCTATCATCCTCACAGGAAAACAATGATCTTCTTGTATCTGTTCTCTGACTCTTGCAATGAGGTCTAGGTGCATTAGTAATCATTTCTAAACCACTTTTTAATCTTGAATACCACCTGAAAAATGATGCACGAGATAAACCATTATCCCCATAAACTTGTTGCATTAATTCAACTGTTTCAATGGCACTTTTTCTGAGTTTTAAAAAGAAATTTATAGTAGCTTTTTGCTACGTGCTGATTACGTAACAGTGAACCTTTGACTAGGTCAACAAAATGGCGGCTTGTTTATTGTTGCTTATCGAGCAGTAATGAAAAGTTGCCAGATCACAGACAAATGTTGCATCTTTATATTCCATGCTTTGTTTCATAGATATATATTATATATATATATATATATATATATATATATATATATATATATATATATATATATATATATATATATATATATATATATATATATATATATATATATATATATATATATATGACTAGATTGTCCTTGCACTAAAACCGAAAGGGCCAAAGGAAAAGAGAACAAGAAAGTGAGGTTAAAAAATATGACACAAAAGCAAATGGTAGGATGACTTGACGTGAGTTGGTGAGAGCCAATGCTACACTGGGTAGAGGGGACAGCAGCAGCAGGAGGAGAAGACAAGTTAGCCAGATAAAACAGTACTTCCATCAAGGTTATTTTGGTCGAGTTAAATATCATGGTGGCCTTAAGAGAACAGTGATGGAGGGTACAGTTAAAAAAAACAGGCAAAGGCAGACCTTCATGAAAGTGGTTTTTTTTTTTTCTAAAGTATCCAGAAACCATGAGTTGTAAACCCTTTGGCTCAGTACTATGAATATCGCAACCCTTCGGCCTTGATTCCATGACAGATACCGTAAATCTGGGAGGAATGTGGCTTTTCTGCCTACCCCCAGGGGGGGGTGAATCCAGACCACAAGGAGTTCGTCACCCGGTCGCCGCGCAGAGGGTTCTAACCAACTGCGCTAGCGAGCCAGGCACAAGAAAGTGCATAAAATACATTAAAGATGAAAGCACACAGGGCTGGAGAAATGGCTAGACAAAGAGAGACTTTAAGATGTGCTGTACTGAAAAGACCCCACTAATTGAGGGAAGCCCTTTAAAATATAGGTGTGGTCTCTTCCATCCCTATGTACTGTGTTTTATTAGTACTAGTTCTTACTGGCACTCAACAGGTGATGTGGTCAATTCATATCACCTGCTATTACTTCTCAGAACACCGATAGCATTTGAATTGGAACTACACTGGCTTCTGAAGACTCAAACGGAGTGCTTATGGGAATGCCCATAGTACTACAATGTTAATTCTAAACTCATCAACTTTGCAGAAAACAACCAGGTACTCATTTTACAATGGGTTGTATCAATGAGCCCAGGTTTTTTTTAAAAATGTAATTGCCTGAATGACGATATAACCACACTCTCAGAGGCAAGCATGGCTCCACTGAAGCCTTTTGTGGTTTAAATAGGTCACAGCATATGACCCCTAAGAAGTGACATCAACAAGGAATTATTCCTTTCAAATGTTAATGCATAAAATGATTTGTGTCACATGTTTATATTACAAACTGACTCATAAACTTCATATCAACAAAAGCCAGCTCCAGATTCACCATGTCAAATCTGCTAAAGCATTGGTAGCTCTAGACAGATCCAGTAAAGACTCCAGATGAAGCTTGGATTCCAAGCAATGGTAGAAAAACTCAGGTGCCTGTAAAGATGATGAGGAAAGAAAAGAAACAATTATCACAAAATACAATTATAGTTAGAAGTCTTCAGTCATTCTCTTTTTGTTTACCCCATCTCTGTGTCTCCGGGATTTTGTGGGAAATTCCTGGAAAAGTCCAATAGTATAGGGATGTTAGGGAGTGAAATGAATACCGACTAAAACCAACCCTAACCCTCTTACAATATTGGACCTTCCTGTGTATTCCCCACAAAATCTCTGAGTCGCTTAGATGGGTTGAACAAAGAAAAACAAAGAAAAGAACAAAGTCTTCTTTTTAGTATTTTGTTAACATCTATTGTGTGCCACTAGGTGGTGGCAGATTCAACAGACGAAAAGTAGCTTAGGATGTGCTCTTTCGATTGTTATCCTGTGATGTTGCAAAGTCTCAGGCTTTCAGTGACTTCCTTGATCCATATTCATCTCGGTCTCCCTCTGCTTCCTCTTTTATGATATTCATAATATGCATATCATCATATGATCATAACATGTTTTATTAGTAAAATACAACTGCTGTGCAAAAGATGGGTGATTGGAAGGCCCAAATGTAAGGCGGGCCTGCATGCCCAATCTGTGACTCTTTGAAAATAAAGTTTGTTCGTTCGTCCTAGTGCTTCCATTTTGATGCTGTTCACTCTTACTGCTGGCATTGTTGAATTCATTCTGAGCAGTGGCTGAACCATTTTAGTGTTTGATTCTCAATTAATACAACAATGGGTCAGTGTCAGGGACCAGTTCTTAACTAAAAATATGGATTGTATGAGCTTGCAGTCATATAGTAAACAGCAGCTTTTTGCGGTGTACCCCACCCCAGGCAGGCCAACGAAACACTTGAATTTTCAGTGACTTTAAATGACTGCTGTTTGGTCGGATCGCAATGATGAGTGGCCGTTTAATCAGACTGCGCGACAAGTGTATATTCATCATCACATCTTATGTTATGCTGTGTACTGTGATGTAATAAACTACTTTTCGACAGTTGTTTCCTGCTGTTTATCTTGGCAGTTGTGTGTTGGACTCATGTACTGCCAGTGTGTCTCCTACACGGAATCCAACAGGATAGTTTTATCTCTTTATTTTCTTCATGCGATCTCTTCTGGTTTTGATCGCAGCCTTACTCAAACATCTCATTTCACAAGCACAGTAAGAAATGTACTACAGAATTATGACTATCCTTAGTAACTCTTTCTATCCATAATGATACACTGTATGTGAATAGAAGTGCTCCGTTGTACTTCTAACCCAAGTCTGAGTCCGAAGCAGCTCAGGGCAGTGCAAGGGCTCCGTAGCACCGGTGTGGTTCCTGAAATATTCTGGGTAGCTTTTTAACTCTAAATTTTGCCCGGGCAGCGCCGTTAGGCTACTCTTTTCTTTTCCAACTGCCAAGGGAATTTTACAATTCACACGGGCCTCCAATCTCATCTACCCTGAGACGAGGGGAAATTACTAGAAGAAGCCCACGTGAAAAAAGATTTCACCAGGGCTTGAACCCTGGACCTCTAGCACTCGAGGCGGACACCATGCCTCGAGACCATGCAGCCCCCCCCCCCCCCCCCAATTAAATAATGAGACTGATTTTATCATGGCCAAAACAAGCAGGTCATCCAAACAGGAACTATTCTCAATGATTTGGCAAAACTGTAATACTGCCTGGTCTGCAGATAAGTAACCTGCCATTTTATTTAGCTAGTGCAAGATGCATCAATACACATGCAGCAAGGAGCGAAGGGCAAACATTAAATTATGTTTCAAATTCGGGGGGGGGGGGGGGCTGCGTGGTATTAAGGCATGGCATCTGCCTCGAGTGCTGCAGGTCTCAGGTTAAATCCCTGGTAAAGGCTGGGATTCTCTTTTACGTGGGCGTCTAGTAATTTTCCCCTGTCTCTGGGTAGTAAGATCGAACACGTGTGTGTATTGCTGTGCATGGAAAAATATCCCTTGGCAGTTTGAAAAAAAAAAATTAGCCTAATAGAGCTGCCCAGGGCAAAATTTGGAGTTTAATATCTACCCAAACTATTTCAGGATCCTTGTTGGTGCAACGGAGTCCATGCACTGCGCTGAGATTCTTCTGACTCAGGCTTGAGTAAGAAGTAGAACAAAGCGCTTATGGGTTACTACCCTTGAGCCATGATGCCGATCCATAGCCTTAACCTAAATCTTAACTCTGAGAAGTGTTCTTTATATAGATGAATTGATGCGCTAAATTTATGAGAATAAATTTTTTATAAAATCCGGCATCCAACTTTTCTGCCATCATTCTCTCTGTCAGACATCGGTCTTCGTCTATCTGTTCTGACGTAAGCAATAAGCTTATCATTACGAACCGAAACTAGATGTCTCGGCCCAGCTTCATCTTCAATCTTTTCCACACCAGTTTTGAATCGTGAACACCACCTGATGCACAAGACAAATGTTGACATCCATTAACTTGTCTCATCAATTCAACTATCACAAAAGCTCTTTGCCAAGTTTGAAACAAAAATTTAATGTTTGCATTTGGCTCTATGCTGCACATGTAACACGATGCAACCTTTTCTAGCTAAACAAAATGGTGGGTTACTTGTTATGTGCCGACCAGCGTGGCATTATAATTTTGATAAGATTAAAGTAAAATGCCTGTTTGATTAATATGCTTTGCCTCAAGGATGGCATTCTTATTTTGGCCACAATATCAGTATTGTAATTTACTTGCTGAACTGAATTCTGTTTTGTCTCATCAGGTACATTACTACAGTTACATACACTGGTTATCTCTAATACTCCATTTTCATGTAACTGCACTATGTCCTTCGCTAGAGGCTAACCTGCAGATCGAAAGATCTAGGTTCTGGTCATCATGGAGCCGCACTAGTTTAAAAAATGACCTTGGCTCCAAGGTCAACCCAGTCTTAAACTGATACCAGGCAAAGTCATAGGAAGTGGGTGGTGTGATGCTGACCACTTAACACACCAAGTGCCGTTTGTTCTATAAAATATAGGTCTAGCCCTATATGCCCAATAGGCCTGAAGGCGTGGGAAAGAGTGCTTTACTTATGTCTCGTAAAGAAGATCATCTTAAGAGATGCCCTAATCATAAAGTTGATCATCTCTCAGGGAAGCAGCCGTAGCAGCCAGTCTATCAGACTGCACTGGTAGGTGTGTACTTTAACCCTTCAGGACAGCAGCTTGCCCGATTAACTCTTCAAGGATGAGTATCCTCCATGTTCAAATTTGGAAGCTCTCTTTAACAGCTTAGCAGTTTACACTGGGGCCCCTGACTGTTACACAGTAACCTGAATATTAATTTCTTCGCTTTGTGTTGAACAGGACTCATTTTAGTGCCATAGAGAATGGCCTTACTAAATGATGTCACAAAATGTATACATAAATGTTAAATATACTGACCTCATATTTTAATTTATGCAGAAAGATTATTTCTTCTCCTGTCAAATATAACAAAGATGAACTGAAATAGAAACGAATGTGAAATTCTGTTAATTCATGAAATTTTAAAAGGCATTAATGAAGCAACATGCAACTGTTTTGTTGTTGACGTTTTTCATGTTGTTAGTGAATAATTGTTTCCCCTTCCAACTATACTGTCTATGTATGTACATTTACTTACAGCTATATGTCTGTGTATGTACAACTGCAACTATATGTCTGTTATGACAATTTCAACCATGTCTATGTATGTACATTTACAACCATGTTTATGTATGTACATTTACAACCATGTTATGAAGATACATTTACAATCATTTATCTATGTACGTACATTTACAACCATATGTCTATGTATGTATATGCACACCATATATCTATGTATGTACATTTACAACCATGTAAGTATAACAGTTTTCTGTTTATTCCAGCTCATGCTGAATGTTGTAACCAGTAAACGTAACATTTAAATGAAACCTGACTTTTGATTTGACTATGGTAAACTACTTTTCTTTGTGGCAAAAATTTGTATGGCAAAAGTACCTTTTTCTAATAGATGCATTTTTTTTAACAAGGAGTTTACTTAATTCTCCTAAAAGCTAAGTTGTTAAATGCAGTCTTATATGATAAGGCATCACAAAAGCATTCTCTCTAGGTATGCAAACCATCTGATTTGCTGTCTTTACATGTAATTTAGAACTGGTTCTGTGCCAAATTCTTTCTCTTATTTCTGATTTAGTCTCATCTGGTCACTTCTGCAACCATTCTCAGACATCTCATTTCCATGGTAACTTAGTTTCTTTTATGGTTTGTTGTGAGTGATCATGTCTGGCACTGTTAGCATAGAATAGGAATGAATATGCTTTGTATGAAATGTTTTTTTGTGTTGATGGGGATTGCCTTAAGCTGTAAGAGAGGGGGCTAGCTTTCCCAATACTTGGCCAGCTTTACTGCATCGGATGTCAATTTCTTCGTCCAATTTACCATCTTCAGTGAATGTTGTTCCAAGATATTTCAACTCAGAAGCCTGTTAAATATATGTATGCTCTGATGCTATATTTAAACTCTGCTTCTTTCTCACCACTGGCACTACTTCTGTCTTCTCGATGTCGATTTTCAAATTATATGATTTACATTCTTCAGTCATGGATGCAAGATGTTGTAAATTCATTACTATATCTGCAATCAAGGCCTGGTCATCAGCAAAGAGTAATTCGTTTATGTTACTATTATTTTCATTCCTAGGCTTGGCATATTTGCTTATACTGTCAATGTAGCTGATAAACAGAAGTGGTGATAAGTCACATCTCTGCCTTACTCTAGATGTTAGATATTTCTCTGTGCTGATCAGGACTGTGTTATGCCATAAGACAATTACTAAAACACCTGACATCATTAAACAATAAAAGAACAAGTACAAGAAGAAGAAGACTGCAAAAGAAACAAACAAGCAGAGTTGAGGATAAACAAGAAAAAGAAAATGAGCCACTCACTTTTCTAAACTGTACTTTGTAAGCCACATAGTGATTTCCCCCTTGGTCCACATTTTGATGCCCTCCTCATCTATGTCTAAAGATTGTCCTCTAGGAGCATGAGAGGCAGTTCCATTTGTGTGAGACTGGATAACTGGTTCAGGTGCCTCATGGCTGCTTGATGATGGAGACGCTCTCTAAAGAATAACATTGCCAATATCAATTTCAGATTAACAGTCTGTATAAACAGAGAAACAAGTAAACACTGCTGTAATGATTCTATCTACAAACTAGTCTATAGCTTGAGTGTTGTGTATTCAGTTTCATAATTCCAACATACCATCGCTTGAAGTCAGCTGCAGGAGATTTGATAACAGACTGCTTTGCATTGATCAGGAGCATCAAACTGTTCAGAAAGCTATGGCCAACTACTAAAATAAAAGAGCCTAGTAAAACCACAAACTGCCAATAATGCCGGTGCTAGAATGAGACTTAGTCAAGGATGAGCAGGTAATATACACAATCCACTCTCATACAATTTTTATATTTACATCTATTTATATCTATGCATATATTTATGTGGGCGCATATTGTAAAGCTTCAGTCATACCCAATAAGACATTAAAACTTTACAGCAGTCTTTCCAGTCTAAAATGTTTTACGAGGGGCATACTAAAAAAAAATCACATTAAAATGAAACAAAATTTGATGATGTTATGTTATTGATTTACGTCTGTGCACACTGGTCATTACTATACATGTTCAGTCCTCCAATGCAGCAGCCACTCCAAGATACCTCAACCGATTGTTTTCATGAGGAGTTGGTTAAAGTATCTATCTCCTCAAAGACGGCATAGCCATGATTCACTAAGCTCAACTCCTCGGTCACACGTTTAAGCATCAGAGATTCGCCATTATTCCTTAACTTAGTCTGTACAGCGTTGATGATATCAGCTCTCACCATGCTCATTCCCGTTTGCATGGCGAATTACTTGCCAGCTGTCAGGTCTTTCACTACCATTTACTCCTGTGTGCCCAAGCTTGCAGATCCAGATGGTAGAGGCGAACTGCAACTTCTGTTTTCTATCCAGTCGAAGCATAGACTACATGCAGTGATTTTCTGATGCATGTTCACTGAGTCTGAAACTATTACAGCCATGTATAGCCCCTTGTTCTGCTACCCATGAGAGTGCTCTAGAAAGCTCTATGGTCATGTTTAACATAGTTATAATTTAATGAATTAAGAGTTGATGTGTCTGCACTCAGGGCATTCCCACACGGGCTCTGTCCCCTTCAACAGTAGCCAACAAAGATTTCTCATACTGATAGTGCCAGTTGTAACCAGATTAAAAGTCAGCCTGTACTTTCTGGTGTTTGTTGAAAGCTGTTCAGACCCTCTGCTCACTACCTGCTGACTCAGTCTCTCGAGTCATGCATTCTGCTCTGCTGTTCACTTGATCCCAGAGATCTTTCACCATGTCCATTTCATTATAAAGTAGCTCACTGACCAGAGCAGCAGCATCCAATCTGTCAGCATGCTTATTATCCCCAACGCTAGAATACCCCAGGAAGAAAATCCAAGTTTTATTCCTGATCATGTAACATGAACCAGCTGTATGACAATATATGAGATGTAAGAAACTGTAAAGTAATAACTATAAGTAGTAGCACCAAGAAGAAACCAACACAATAAACTTCAATGCAAACACAGTAACATGAAAAAGTAGAAAGCTTCTCTCAATTATAACTAATGGGAATGAACAGAACATCTCTTATAAAATTACTACAACTGCATGTAAAGACTATAATTAGATTTTGCAGCTAAAATATTTGAGTCATAAGGCAGCCAAACCAACCTTCCTTAGTTACCTCTCACAATATGCATGGAAGTTTATAATACAGCCATTATTTGCTTCCCTTTTAGGCCCTGGTAATAAACAGGCACCACCTCATTATGCTGTGGCCCCATTCAGGTCTTTAGCTGCAGGTGATTCGGCAGCAGACCACTTTGTATTAATCAACGAATTTCCCGTGTAGGTACCAGGGCCCCACTGTGCAGAGAAAAATAATACACCCAATGCCAACCCCCCCACCCCCCCCCCCCCCATGTCATTCAGTCACTATGTCATTCAGTCACTATGTCATTCAGTGCAGACCTGATAAGGAGAACTCACTGTGGAAGAGGCTGGGGCCTCACTATGTCATTCAGTGCAGACCTGATAAGGAGAACTCACTGTGGAAGAGACTGGGGCCTCACTATGCCATTCAGTGCAGACCTGAAAAGGAGAACACACTATGAAAGAGAAGGGGCCTCACTTTGTCATTCAGTGCAGACCTGAAAAGGAGAACACACTATGAAAGAGACAGGGGCCTCACTTTGTCATTCAGTGCAGACCTGAAAAGGAGAACACACTATGAAAGAGACAGGGGCCTCACTTTGTCATTCAGTGCAGACCTGAAAAGGAGAACACACTATGAAAGAGACAGGGGCCTCACTATGTCATTCAGTGCAGACCTGAAAAGGAGAACACACTATGAAAGAGACAGGGGCCTCACTTTGTCATTCAGTGCAGACCTGATAAGGAGAACTCACTGTGGAAGAGACAGGGGCCTCACTATTTCATTCAGTGCAGACCCGATAAGAACTTACTGTGGAAGAGACTGGGGCCTATGTCATTCAGTGCAGACCTGCTAAAAAGAGAACTCAACAGGGGCACAATAAATAGTATCACGGCTATCCTCCGAATAACGGTCCCCAATTATCGAGGCCGAAAATATACCCTAATAGGACCTCAGTTACATGTAAATTGCGAACCTCTTCCGGCGACTACACAGCATACCGCCGAGAGTATCTCCCGTGCCGCTACACGTGGCTAAACTAGATAGCTGGGACTCACAAGCAAATAAAAAGGAGGAAGCTGCATGAGATGCGGTAGCTGCTGCTCATGAGTCCCAGCCATCTAGTTAAGCCCTGCTCCGAGTCGCACGCAGCGGCACGGGAGATACTCTTGGCAGTGACTTTAACTCAGTGGAAGCTTTTTTCGCGGTATGCTGTGTAGTCGCCGGAAGAGGTCCGCAATTTACATGTAACTGAGGCCCTGTTAGGGTATATTTTCTGTCTTCATAATTTGGGACTGTTATTCTGATTATAATGAATTAGCATTGGAATGTTGAATATGATAGATGTTTGACATGGAACATATGTAAACAACCAAGAATTTACAAAGTTGGCACAAATATCTAGAAAATAACAGCACTGTTTACACTTTAAAATGAAAAAGCTGCAATTGTTAGCACCTCCTCCTTCCATGACTCAGTAGCCGTTTCATTAACAGAATATCTTTCGTCGAAAACGGGAAGGCTTTCCCCACACACAACTTTGTTATAATTAATGTTGTGGCGTTTTTTAAAACGACTCAGCCAGCCAGGAGTACATTTCCATCCAGTCCGCCCTTCCAAAAGTGCTAATTCTTCTGCCTTTGCAGTAAGTATAGGCCCATTAACAGGAATATCGGCTGATCTCGCCATGGTGAACCATTTTAGGAGGGCCTTGTCAACTACATGACACTCTGCTTTTCGGGCCTTCATTCGGTGACAATCAACTTGCCCGCCATAAAACATTTTTCTGTACCGGTCCTTATTTTTAATTATTCCTGAAAGCGTAGACTTTGGAATGTCGAATTCCTTTGCTATTTCCATTTTCTTTTTGCCACTATTTTCAACTTCTTGTAATAGCTCAATCTTTCTTTTCAAAGATATAGATTTTAACTTTCCAGCCATTTTTTTTAGAGAGGGGAAATAACTCAAATTCTAACTTCGGCGACAAGCACCATTTCCGAAAATAACCGAAACGTTGTACAAATGTCATATTTCAGGAAAACATTGTGTCGTAAGCAGATAATGATTTAGTCAAGACATGTTTGATCGCTCAACATATCCGACAATTCGTTATAAACGGATTCCGCTCAAACCTAATAATTCTTTTTTTTTTTTTTTTTACAAAGCCAAATAAAAAAATTGCTGGGGATAAACAAATTGTTCTCCACTGCAGGAATTCGCCATATCAGAGATCGCATTAGGCTTTATCTATCTGCACTGTATTCCTAAAGACACCAGTAGTACACTGTTGCCAACCTTCACTGTAAAGACGGTACATAATTTTCTTACCGTACCTTACTGTTGCTTGTGAAGACTGAGCATTTCTGGGTCTTTCATAAGTGCTATAAAACTGATTCAAACACTCTTTCCTTATCGTGGAGAGTTTCATACGTTGACTGTGTCGTTCATAGTACATATTTATAACTTTCTCCTATCACAGACCACTGTTACATTAACTCATATCAGAAGTGTTGGTTTTACTCCTGCTACTCCACAATGTTACCTCTTTGGGCTATTTAGAAAAGGGGCCAAAAAAAGGGAGGGGTTACTTTCGGCTAGAACTTAACATGATCGAAGGAGTTAAAGGCGTGTACTGAAACAGCTATTACTACAGCATTACTGATCCAGTCAGTAAGTAGCATGTCCTTTGCAGAACCTTGCTCCCATAACAACCTCCCAGAAAACTTCTCGATCACAAGCAAGACGTCCCGCGCCCGATACGATACCCCTATCAAGTGATAATCCGCCACATCCTACACTCATCTTTCTCTTTTCCCATACTAACCCTGTATTACTTTAAAATCGTCGTTTGCGACTGAAAACTCCATTCTGCCTAACCGTGACACATAATTATGTGTGATTAATAGCATACTTAGTACGTACCTCAATTGTGACAACTGGTTTTATATCAGGAGACTCGGACAGTGCGTTGATACCGATGACATTAGGCTGCAGCGAAAAGCAGGACCCTATCCTTACTGTACGCTGAGATGACGCAACTAATGATTTGTGTTTCTTGCCTGCCGCGTGCGATCGTAATGCGCTCTCTCCCATGGTAACAATACCAATCTTCTTTTCACACAGTGTGCATCCAGCAAAATGGTCGTTTGTCGTCCGGGCTATCCAGCTGCTATATTTTGGCATACGCAGCCACCTTTCCTGAAAACGGCAACCAGACATGGCCTACTTTTTCTTC